AATTGTAAGCATTATTGTAAAGGAAATATTTTCAGCGCGAACATTTGTGTGTAAATCTGATATTTCGACGACGATAGCGCTCCTTTAAACTGTCGTCGCCGAGCGTCAATCTATCGATCGAGAATGCAACCAGAAACCAGGTGGGCCAAGCCGCAAGTGCTGCTCCAACATTTTTAATGAACCACCGCCAATGGTGATCTGGACAGTGTCTCTCTGTTGGCGACAGTTGGTGTTCTTTGTGCTCGAAGCGGGAGAAACTACAAGCGGAACTTTCCAGCGGTGGCGGTTTCGAGACCCGTTTCCAACTAACCGGCGGACTTCTGGACGGCAAGTGGAGACTTGTAAGGGGACACCGAGCCAACGGGCTCGAACAACAAACAGGAACTGCAAAGGGCGGTACGGTTATCGGGTTACCGGCGCAGCTTAGCTTGATATGGCTGATTTATTGGCGGAAGTCGATTAGTCCCAATCTCACTCATAAAAATCGTGACGCGCGACGACGAATGACGACGATTTTAAGATTTTAACATGTCATCGAATTCGCGAATATATTGTATCGCACTTTACGGACGACGCGGATTTTGCAAGATTTCTAATGGGGAAAAATAAGGTATTATATTCGAAGCCCCGACTTCCTTGCCTCTGTCTCGTGCACGTTTTGCCAACGATTTTCATGCAGCCTATAATCCGTATCTGCAGGTCTGCCGCGGGGATTTGCACGGGATTCCGGAATTATCCCGGTGGCCGAGGGGGATGATCCTAAGTAAACACGCGTGCGGCCACACGACTCACGTCCCCACCACGCCGCGCTAAGACGCAGTTTCTTCGTGCTCGCACAATTCCTTGGAAGCAACCCCCCCCCCCCAAGTGAATGAGAGAGGGAGGGAAGCGACAATGCCCGGTAGTGTTGTACAAGGGCAGCAGATCGGGCCCTTCGATTCGCAGAAAGAAGGATGAATTCGGGTATAAGAGCGGAAAAGGTGCTACCTTCGAGCGGCCTTCGCGTTTTCTTCGCGCACCGAATGTGTCCCTTTACGAGACGTGTTATGTCACTGAACTGTCTCTTTTAAGACCCACCGACAACTCCCTGGACGACGAAAGCGGAGCAGCGACGGCTGCAGATTGCTGTTGGCAATGATGGATGAGACAAATCAATCGCGATGAGAAGCATATTTCGCACTTAAAATTTGCAAAAATATTGTATTTAAACTCGGCGCGTTTATTATTTTGTTTATTAACGAATACAAAATTGTAAAATTATTATCATCTTACTATCGATATCTTACCATATCTTTTACCTCTTTTATATATGTAATATGCAAATAACGTATGCTCATATAATTTAAAGCAAATTGGCTTTACTTTTGAAGGTTTACCTTCAACCCCATTACTTTCTATCTTAGCGCAGCTGATGCTGGACACTTTGATACACTCAAGGTGAATGTGGTTTGTGGTTAGAAGGATCACTACTTGCTCTCGATGCAACACTGTATCTTCAGTCGTAAACGCTAATAGCGACAATCTACGCGCCATAACGGATGCTCATCATTACTTCGAAATTGCAGTTCTCACTCGCAAACGTGACTGATTGTGTGCACAAAAAGCGTTTAAGTGCATTGCTTTACGTTCTTCTTTTGGGTAAACGACGACGTTCCCATTGTGCACTTTCGGTAGAAAGACACCCGTAATCACGTGTAAAGATAATAGTGGGTAAATGTGGTCAAATGCATCAGCCTTATGTAACACTATTATGTTAAAATCAATTCTGCGATGTGAATTCGCAAGAGTAGAACGAGTCGTTCTTGGAAGATCAAAAATCGCGCCTCGCGATTAAGCGAGACAGTACAACGCGATTTTTTGCGGATCACGCGATCCGAGATTCTCGCGCGTCTTGTTGATTCTTCGAGTGTTCCCGAAGAGTCGACGAATACGCTTAGAAGCAGATCAGGTAAGACCAGTTCGAAACGTAGAAACGACACGCTCCCCGGCTCGTCGGGGAATCACAGTGAGAGAGAACATTCGTCATTATTACCATTGACCGTTGGTCCCTGGGGTCTACCCATTCGGGTTTCACAGGAAGTAGGCCGGTCGGATCAAGGATCAGGCTGCCCTTTTTCATTTTGAGGCGGCCCATTCAGGTGTAATGGTCAGTTAAAGACTATCCAAACAGAGGATACCACCGGTTCTTTCGATGAACTTCCGAATCTTCCTTTTTCCTCATGACCGAGTGTCTTCAGCTCGAAGTCTTTTGCTTGAAAAATCGAATCTTTTGTTCGCTATTAAACCTCGATCAGCAATCGAATTAGTTTGAAATTTTTTCGTTTTTCAGGAAAATGATATAATAATAACATATAAGATTCATCAAATTTAATACTTACACGGTGAGAACTTGATTTTAAAATTTATTCTGAAAATCATGTTAATCGTGGGACAACATAGTATTTCGACGAATTTTATGTAATTTTCACTGGTTTATTTAATATATACTACAACAAATTTATTGTAGAGCACATGGTGAAAAAACAGAAAATCACATAAAATTTGTCGAAATACTATGTTATCCTACGATTAACATGATTTTCATTTGGATAAATTTTAAAAGAAAATTCTCTCCGTGTATTTAGTCTTAACAAAATTTGAAATTGATCTTTTCTTTATCTAATGCAAATTGTTCTCGTTCGCGTATTTTTAATATATTTAATGAAATTTATATTCTATTTATTTTTGACTTGATAAACTGGTCTACGCGAATTCGCGTATTGTTAATCAAGATCTACGCGAATAACAGACGAGCCCACCCGCGGTTGCCTAAATAGAGGAATCATCTCAAGTATATTTATCCACGTGATCGTCGAATAACAAACGCGGAAATCCTTAAATCCTAAATCAACCTGGCGCGAGCCGAAACCGAAAGCAGACTGCAAACAAACGGCGGTAGTCGAACCGTGGAGGACTCGTGGTCCAATGTGGCGAAAGTCAAATATTAGGTCACGAAATAAGACGTGCTTTGTGTCTGGTCGAGTTAAACGATTTCACAGTCGTGCTCAAAGCAATTTTCAATCATTTTCAGCACTTTATAATTTTAATATAATATAAGACATCACAGTTGTCTTGACGATGTCTTATGACTTATATTATATTTAAATCAAATAGTGATTAAAGATTCTTTTGTTCATCTATCTTTTAAGATGGCAGTAAAATTGCTGCATTGCACAAAAAAATTATGTTAGCGATCGCACACGTGACATTCATTCATCATCCTCGAAGAATTTGCATGATAACATATCCTGAAAACGTAACATATCATTTCATTCACTGCTCGAAACATTTCTTCATCAAAGTCGTAAAAAATGCTTTTCGCGTGGTTCTTGACTCGCTTCTTATCTCAACCGAGATGCCCACTGCTAAGGCGGTAGCGGCAGTGACGAAGAACAGAAAACGAAGAAACTGAAGCCAAGACAATGACCGCTGTTCAAACATGTTCGGACTTCAAACGACCGCCGGCGTATCTCGTGTGGGATGCACCGGCTGCACGTGCATTAGCGGTTCGCAACAGCGAAGATAAGTGCGCCTCCGTATAGTGTCGTATCCTTTCGAGCATCGGCCAGAAGGACATCCGGCATCGAAAATAATAAATATTTGGGAAGGTGCTACGGAACGATGCAGACGCAGTGAAGCCTTTCATTTGTAAGGACATGCCGAAATTAGTGTATCGGAAGCAACGACGAGAGATATATGGAGAAAGGAGAATATTTTGCTAGGACCGAGCCGCAGCGCGAACACCCAAACACTTTCCTTGCAAGCTGCGTCTATAACCCTAATATATAGGATTATATATCTGTAGTTTGTTTAAAGACTTCCTTTCAATGGCTTTCGCATATATTTTCATCTATTTCTCTCTATATCGTACGAATAATAATATTATACATTTTGTTTTTTTCTAATTTATTAGAATTTATAATGCGAGTCCTGATTGTGTCACTTTTTTAACCTCTCGTATAAGAAAACTTAACACTTTAAGAGTCTTTCGATATCAACGATCGCGACGACTTTTATTAATCACGAGCTCAGCTGGAAGACGTCGCACGCGCTTTCAGCGAGCAGCTGGCGCGGTTGTTAAATTTTATCGCGCATACAAATTTTATTTTTCAAGTTGGTCCCAAGAGTGGCGACGCGCGTATCTGCATACGCCGAAGATTCATCCACCGAGTTGACTGACGAGCGCCGCCCTCCCCTAATCGTTCGATCGCCAAAAAATTCACAAAAAAGCGCCACGGCGCACGCAAGGGCGACAAGGGACGGTGGAGAGAGAGGGACCAGGTTAACGGAGGAGTCCCAAGAAACAAACTGAGACGAAACTCTCCCTGCGTACCCGGGCACCGCCCTTGCACTCCACCCATCCATCTCCGGCGTGCATATATTTTTGGGCGGCTAGTTTTTCCCCCGAGGGAGATTTATCATGTCCCTACGCCTCTTCTCTCGCGGGCTGCTCCATCAGTGCCCGACGTGTGGCAGGGAATAATTGGCAGAGCGGAGGAGTGGCCACATCGTACTTCAGAAACTACTTCGGAGATGGCTCGTGGGAGCAGCAGCGTAGCTCAGTTACGGAGAAAACGACGATTCTCGCAAATATAGATAAAATAGCCTACATGGATACCTATACCAAAAATTATCTAATTAAAAGTATCTAATCACTTGCTGTCGATCCATTAATTCAATTAGATTTTTATACTAGCAAGTTTTTATTATCATGTTGTAAATAATGAAAAAATTAGAATTCTTTTAGCTTTCTGGAAAAATTTTCCACTTATTTAGTTAAATAAGAATTAGTCTAAAGAAGGTGCAATGATTGAAAGACACGCGTGTTGCGGAAAAATTTGAGAAAGAGATAAATATATTCAAATATTAAATCGCTCGCGTGTTATATTTCTTTTTTTAAATATGTGTAACTTTATTCTTCGCGCGTTGAAAGGGGCAAGAAGTTTATTAATACGGCACTGGTTGCTGTTGTGAATAATAAATACCGGGAGGACAATACAAAGTCGTTCGAGCAGTCAGTTCGAAATTGGCTCGTTTACGTACATCATCAGCTAGGATTATCGTGCTGTAGAAAGTGATCGAAAGTGCTTGAAAATGAGCACGGAAAAATTTGCAAAAGAGTTTACGAGTCTACTCATTCGTTACACGAAAACTTCTTCACCGCATGTAAGTATTCGTTCGATTAAAAACCATCATCGAGAGTAAAATACAGTCGAGACAAGTGAATAACGACTTTTATTCTACTTGTACATATACGTACATATGTATACCTGTTTAACGAGTACATAAGCTATCACATGTACGGTAAAATTTTTCATATATAATCTGTGATCATTGCGTGTGCATTTCAGAACGATTTATCGAATACTATTATACCTTTAAGTGAGGAGCAAATAGTATTCATCATACATCATGTGCTTAAGGCACTCAAGATGAAGAGCTTCGATGATAACAATAATCTGTCAAAAATATCCAATGGCGTAAGCACTCTTATCACTCCAGAAACTTCGACCGGAAAGATCAAAATTGTTGAACTTATAGAAGTTGAGGATACGTGCAGGTTGTTCTGAATCTTTCGCATATGTTTAACGATTATTTAAAAATGTATATTTCTTGACAACAGTTTTATGTTTAGCTCTCAAGATGTTCAATCTCTTGCTACGGATGATGATTCTTCTATTTCTGACTACACATCGCTAAAAGCTATTCAAAAACAACAAGAGAATTCTTTCAATACTTTGCAAAATGAAAAAAAGGTAAATTTCGTTACCGCATTTCTTTGAATCGTTATCTATTGTTATTACACTGATATATAATTATATATTACTATATGATATATAATATTAATATATAATTAATGAGCAATTTAATTTTCATAATTGTATATATCGTATATATAGAGTGGATACTAAGTACTCTAAAAGATTTTAAAGGGTGATTCTTCAAACATAATTTCAAGACAAATTTCATATGTCGGCTTATAAAACGGCTTAATTTCAAACATACCCGCTTACCCTTGAGTTCTTGATTGAATAAAAAAATAATGTATAGCCTCAAAAGATGAGCTTTCAAATATGTACAAAGTTTCGTCAAAATAATCCGAATGATTTTTGAAATTTTTGAAAAAAAAAACTAAATTTTTCTTTCAACATTGACGTTCTGTATCTTTGAAATTAACAATAAGTAGTTTCGGACATATGATTATATGAAGTTTTTGTTTTAAATTTGTGTGAGAAATCACTCCTTAAAATCTTTTAGAGTAGTTAGTATTCATCTTGTAGTTGGCAAATTAATTCTGATTATTTGGTTATCTAACACATTATTAATTTCAAGTTGTAATTTATGTATAGTTTATTTCACGATCGAATCCAACGATCTGCGTTAACGTTAGCAGATCCGATACTTTTGTTCGCGAGGAAAAGGACACTGAAGACCAGAAGAACTCTGAAGACCATGATTCTTTTAAAAGTAGTGACTTGGTGGGAGACAGTGTTGAAACAGATTTATCACATGATCTTTTTCAAGAATCACTGAACGAAATACGAAAGTCTGCTATGGACATTGTGGCAAAGCTAAATTATTTAGAAGTATAATTTTTAGATACAATATTTATATAAAATACGAAATATCACACATTTGTGTCTACATTTATTTATTTTACAGCAATCATTCCCGCAATCAAGAATAGTTACGCCAAAAGTTCAGCAAACACCTTTAATTTTTGGCTATTCTAATTCTTATCGCACTTCAACTGCGAATAAAACAAGAGTGTCAACTAATATTCGCAGGTCAAGTACCGTTTTTCCTAAAACACCAACGTCCTCTAAATTGTTCGTAACAGAAAAGGGCAATGGTTCCGAGAGACGTAAAAGTACTGGCGCAATCGGATCTAACGCTTCTGGATTTACTGGAAAATCTAGCGAATCCACAAAAGTAGGTCCCTCGATATCAAATCTAACTTTGTCACCAAATAACAAGGCATCACCATGTAACAAGACATCACCAAGTTCATCCGAATTTCGACCTAAGTTTACGAAAAATCCGAAATACGCTCATGTACGAAGCACCATACCAAAAGCAATTAGTCAAAGGAAAAAGATACAATAATTATAATGAAGTCAGGATAAAGTAATACGGTAAAATGATTATATATTTAATGAGAAACAATTTTGAAGTATATTTTAAGTACATTACGCGTTACATTATACCGTCAAAGATCATGTATACATGTATGTATTTGCTTAATGACTTGTCTACATATTTAACATATTTAAAGAATTTTTAAAATTAATTTTATTACTTATACATATATTTTTTACTTGTACATACATGAAACTTATTATTTACACATTTATGGAACTTTTTTGTGATGAATTTGTAAGACTTGTAAAAATTGACGAAGCAGTATGTACTTTTCGAATACCTAAGAATTGCCTTTTGTTATTAATGTAAATTTTTACAAATTATGAGTTCGTTATATTTAAATTTCATAAATATAAATGTAAGTCATTAAGCAAATACACTTATGCGTGATGTTTGGCAGTCTGGTGTAGCGCGTGAATTTGTCTGCCTTAGGCTATACACTCCGAAATGCTTTCTCATGCTCCTTTTGCTAACCGAACACCTTGCATAGCCTAAATACAGCGGCCGTGCGAGAATGGGAGCATTGGAAATGCAACGGAAATTATTAATCTGATCTTCGTTGTTTGATCTGAGTTTGATCTTTGAGTCACACGTAATTTGATTTAAAACACCGCCGCGAGCGAATAATTTCTGCATGAATTTCTGCAATGTAATTGTTCAATTTGAAATTTACCTCGCCCTACATAATTTTCATTTTATACGAGAAAAAATGTAAAAAAAATACAATTATTTTATGTTCATATATTAGCGAAGAATTATTGAAATGTTCTTAATATTTTAAATTTGTTATTTTTGCTGATTTAGACGAAGTTGTACTTTGGAGAATCAATTAAAGCTTTTAATTAAAATATAAAATTAATTTAATTCAATACTTCATTTCTTTCATCTCGGAAGGGTTAAATACGAATTCTTCCTTACACGCCCGGCGCTGCGAGACGGAGATAGGAAAATAACTATTAGTATCCCGGTCTTTAATTATAAAAATCGTGTAGGCGGTGCTTTGGCACCGCGTGAGCCTTCATCAATCATCCGTCAATCCACGTCCACGAGAGCGATTCTTCTAGATTACACGATCTTTGCCCTTGAAAGGCAGACCTTCGTTACTAGGAAGCAGGTAATCTCGAAGCTCGTAATTAGCGCTCGTCGGGTGAGGACTATATCTCGTAGCGCTTTCACGGCGCCTCGTCCGCTATATGTTAACATAGAAACCGCGTAATTCCATACATTATTTTATTTTAATGAATTCATTTCCATCAGAAATCCATTTCTCCATCATCCGTCTCGCAACGGTGTGTCCGCGGATGCGGTAGCAAAACCGCATCTGTCCTTAAGTGCACTCTCGGCGAAACACTCTTCAGCTTAAAAAGTGTTTCACTTGTTGACGTGTCAGCCGGGCCACTCACCGGGCGGACTCCGGGGGAGCAGTCCCATCAACGACAGCGATTAGCCCCACGATTCGCCTTAATGGCTGCCCGATCGTTCGTTCGCTTCCATCCGTTTCTCTTTTCGACGTTATTAAGTAGGCGCGAAAATGCAAAGTGAAACGGGACAGGTGGGGGACATCGTCGATCCTCCGTCTCGTCTGCCGTCACGATATAATCGTGGGTCGCGCGATCGTGTATTTATTTTTTCCATTTTTATGACGCCGTTTCTCGAGGTTTTATCGCGGTATATTAATGGAGGAGAGAGGAGTACACCCAAACGAAAAATTATATTTACAAGCGTTCGTTAGAGCTCTCGTGTACAGTAACAAACGGATAATTTTGTGTCACCGGTCGATAAATTAATTCGATAAATATATATATATAAGCGAAGTGACATAAATTCACATTCTATATTTTATTATAAGATTACAGGATACGTCGATGCACGTTTCCAATTGCAATGATAATAATTTAGGTTTCACGAGCGTCCGCACACGCGAGCGTATAATTCATATATACACTTAAGGCGTTGAAAACGATATAGTCCCGAGCTATTAAAAAAAAATGCATTTCAAAGGAGAATGAACAAAAAAAATTGATAAATGCGATTTCATCAATAATACATACGTCGTCGGTACCATCTTTATTATCGTGATTCAAAAGCTGATACAACCGTGAGCACAGCTGCCACTTTGCTGAGAAACGAATTTGTAGCTGTGCGCTCCACCTTTTTGTCTCATCGAATCACTTCCTGACTCCCCTCCTCACCTCCCCGTCTCTCGCTCTTTCGTACTGCTGTAGCCCAAACGAGGCCCATTTTTGGCCCACATATCTGTGGGACGTATATATGTGTGTGTGTGCGCAGCGCGGAGGACGTTTCTGCGGACAAACCGATTTGGCGTGCAAAAACGGATCGCATCTTTTTAAAACATACTTGAGGTCCGACGAAGCGTCCGCAATTTCCGTCTGATGGGTGCACAGGTGCGCGTGTGCGTGCATTCTTTTGTCGGCGTGTCACGTTAACAACGGCCCTCCTTCCGCGCTGAGCACGGTCACGCAATGACAAATCCTATAAATCATAAAACAAACCACGCGCGTTTAGCCCCCGCGTACCGTAGCGTAACGCGACCGAAAAGTTCCCTCTCTCACCCAAAGGTACTAAATTACTCTTTTTTCGGCGATGCTTCTGATGCACTTGAATTCGTAAGAACATAAAAAAGTGCATTCTTCAACCAAATTGAAGAGGATGTGAAAGCTAAGTATTTAAGGTCTTAAGATGCTCTTTTTGAAAATCGCTCTGTGATTATTTCTCAGCTGGTTTCGTAAATTCATATTTCGTCAAGGGCCACCGATTCGTAGAAGTCCTCTCATTTTGTGTCGAGAAACATAAGAAAGTATTGCGAAATGATTATATATATACACGGAGAGAATTTTTTTTTTAATTTACCCTGCAAATCATGTTAATTATGAGACAATATAGTATTTAGGCAAATTTTACTGTGCACTACAATAAGATTTCGTAAAATTTATTGTAGTGCACAGTAAAATTTACCTAAATACTATATTGTCTCACAATTAACATGATTTTCAGGGTAAATTTTAAAAGAAAATTCTCTCCGTGTATATTTCAATCACGTAAAATCTGCAGAGAGATTACTCGTAAAGATTACTTTTTATGAATAATCTTTGCAGATTTATATCATCCTCGTAAATGTATCGATCCTTGCTCGTTGAGAGCAGTCATTTTCTTCCAGATTAATGTTGCCTTTTATTCGTGCCATCGCGCCGACCCTCAAATAAAGCTGTCACACCGCCTTGGATGAATTGCACCTCCGTTGCAGAAACCGTGCGCAATGAGGCCGGCAACGGACGCGATCGTTCACGAGCGCGTAATCGCGCGTGCATGCAAAGTCACTCACGCGACCGACTCGATGGCGGCGGCGCGGCGCGAGTCTGCAATTTCGCGCACTCGCTCGAAAACCGGCCACCCCGACACCTGTTGTCGAAGTATACGCTTGATGATTCCCTATGCTAAGCTCGCGACGTGGCAAAAAGTCGGCCAGTCGGGCTCGTTGCGGGGCCCTGCGAGGGGCCCTGGGGGCGATCGGAAGCGGCACGGGACGAGCGAAAGGGGGGCAGACTATGGGCGTTCTTTCCCCACCTCGTCGGGACCCCTACTCGATTCTATAATACGTGTTCGCAAAAGTATCGGCTTGAAGAGGACAGGAAAGAGGGAGGGGAGAGAGGAGAGGGGGATGATTACGCGCGTCTTTTTAACACAAAAGGCTCGAAAACCAACACCGAAATACGACGAGTAGCGGCGCGCCCTGTAATCGACAACGTCCCAGACCGGGCTCTCCCCTTCGTGATGAGACAACCATTTTCAAAATTGCGATAGTCGCCTGCAAATAAGGCGGAGAGATGGGCACCGCAGCCGGACGTTGTACCTAACCGAAGGCCTCTCGTGGCCGAGTTATTATTTGTTTTTGCCCCAGGGGGACCATCACGGTGCTTATCGAGTCACCGTTTGCTTCAGCTGCAACGGAACGTTACGCCCAGTTTCGAAGAAAACAAGAAAAATCGTCCGTCCTGTTGTCCCTTGGACACATACATGTGTGGGAGTCGCAATTTCCTTCCGTCTTAAGTATGATAATACACCTTTTCGTGTTTCAAAAAGAGCACTGATTGACGTATCTATTAAAGTTATTTTTCTCATGAGAGTAAAAAGAGACAAATTGACATATGTTTTAGGGAAAATGGTTCCATTTTCTCTATCATCTATTCCATTATATTTAAGTATATCTGCAAACGTATTTGAGAAATCTGCTACATTGTGGAGAATTGCGTTTGAGAGCAGAGATTCTAGAAGAAAATCACACACAGCATTCCTTCATCATTGATCTCCGCTAAGCAAGTTTGTGATCCGCTGGTCGATCAAACTGCTAGTTATGATACATCGCGCAAGCTATACTAGAGCGATACGAAAAAAATGACGTAGGCGCGAATCGGGCAAATTGGTGAGGAACCATTCAAGACTCGGATTCGGCTGCAATCTCAGCTCCGGGGCATTGGCGGCTCACGGGCGATAATTGATATCACCTGCCATGTAAATATCGGGTATCGTCGTTTGCCGAACCTGTCGGCGGAAAAAGGGTGGCCAGGGCAAAAGGAATTGCCGAACGCAACCGCCGGTGAGATAATTACGTGTTGGTTTTAGAAAAGGGGGAAGCACCGGTTAATTCCACGCTTCGTGGTCCGCGCAAAAAGCCGCCTGCGGCTACGAGTTTCTCTGTTCAAATTAGGCGACGCGCTGTATGAGAATCTTGGCTAGAACCAAAATGTTATAGATAAAATTTTAGTCTTCCCAAGAATATCAATATTGTAGAAAGATATAGAACGAAGGACAAATAAATAGAAATTAGCAAATTCAATAATAAATTATTATCTTTATATAATTGTTTATATATATAATAATTATATTAAAATAATTGTTTAAAATTTTATCATAATTTTTAAATTTTATTTCAAAATAATAACGCACGTAATGCCTATTACATAATTTCCATTCTTTTAAAACTATCAGTATAAAATGTTGTTACCTATATTTAATTAAATATAGTGTTGACGCATTCTTTACTCACAGTTTTATATATCTATTTCGTCATGTTATTTTATCACTGAAAATCATCTCGACCTACTTATATAGAATTGCACAGTTCGGTTGAGTATCGTAAACTCTTAGCTGACCGATGATTTGTGTGTCGGTCCGATAAAGAAAACCTTGCGAACGCCTACCGTTTTGTATTCGACGTTCTCACGTTGTGCATAACACCTCGCCGTGAGCCGCTTAGCACCTCGAACGCCATACGGTTTAAGACAGTTCGCGTATCTCGATCTCGCTCTCAACACCTTCCTTATCGATGATTCCTTTTATGCTCCCGTAATGACACGCTTCTCGGCATGCCTGCAGCGACGGATGCTGTTAAAAAATAGATAGAAAGGAAACGCGACGTTTGTTTAGCAACACGATAGTTTAGCAGCAGGGAACAGAAGGCAGGAGACTGGTATCAGGTCCTTTCGATTTATTCTGAAAAGTCTAACGTGTTGATGATGCTGTGAAGAGCAATAATATACTTTTATTGTTTTACAACAATAAAAAATATATGTATTATTTTTAACAATTTTGGAATATGTATTGTATCTAACGTGTTCACTAATTTAAAAATAACATATATTCATAAATCCAGTGATCTTTAGAATTGAATATGGTCAAGATAGAATCTTAATTTGTTTCTCTTTATCTATCTATCAACGTGAGTATAGAATGATATAGCGATGACGGAATGCTTAAAATATTTCTTTTAAAAAAATCTAATGCGTCACTTTGGAGCTTCTGATGTTTTATTCGATTCTTTATTAAGATTTGACGTTTCGATAAT